GGTCGCGCGGAAGGCGCCCGCGCTCGGGTTTCGAAATGCCCGCGCATTTGGAGCGCGGTGCGATTTTTGGAATTTTCAGTATATTCTTCTGGAAATCGAAGTACTATGATTTTGAGCGCATGAGTTTATAAATTCGAGAAGCTTGTAATTCACAAGTACTCTAAGGATCCTGAAGTCTAGAACCGCCAAGTTTTCAACTGTTGACATTTATAAGTACCTTGCACCTCAAACCTCTGTACTCTCAAATCTTCAACTTCTCAAATCCCTAAAAATCTCCAAATTCTCAAACCACATCGAATCTCGACTCCAACTTTGCAGATTACCCACAAAGTACCGAGACCCACCGAGGAACCTTCCTAACGCGCCTGCGTATACTCGACGGTCATTTATCGAGCGTCCATTATACGAACCCGCGTCTAAAGAACCTATTTCGATTAAACGGTGAAACACGATTGATTCTAGTAATATTTCACAGCACTCGCAAAGACGAATCAGTGACAGTGACCCGCAATAAAGAATATCGGATTGCATCGTAAACTCGCAAAGTTTGTTTTGTTCGTATCGTTGGTACCGGTCCGCTCGTAAACGTAACATTCGCTATCGATGCCTCGGTTAATTTTATTATTCTTATCGCGTTATCAGTGGGTCGTGATTCATCCGGCAAATCGTGCGTACGCGTTTTATCGTCGATCACGAGGCGCTAGCAAGGCAAGGTTTACGCAGGGGATTTAAGAGCAGCGTATCCTTAAGGTTCATACGCATGCGTTTAAATTAGGAATGGCATTTAAGGCCATTGGTGAACTTTATTATCGTTTAATCGCGACGTGGTACGCACACGTACGCGGGCTTTTAATCGCGTGCACCGTGCACGGCCACGCACACGCGGTAGCAGAGGACACGAGAGTAGATGTGCATCGTTGAATTTTTATGGACTGAGGGGAGCGATGCGAGACAGACGTTTCATGGCCTTGAAGATCCGCGGCCAGCGATAGGGGCACAGTTCTTTTGTGGAAAATAATTTTAGTCGTGAACCGCCGTTTCCACTGGCGTACGTGCGAGCTAATTAAATTTCTACGGATCGTGTGGTACGCGAGTTTGACGCCGCAAATGGCTAACCGGATTTCTAAACGCCCCACCCTCTATTAACTTCAAGATTGATCTCAGTAACGAGAACCTCGCGTTATTACATGCTACAAAACGTTTGCGGTTTCTCTTTGTTTTTCATAAACACTGCCTTTTAGAAACGATCAACTATTTTATAACAGTGAATCATCGCTCAGGAAATCAATTTACAAATCGTCAGAGAAGAAATGAAATTGCGTGAAACAGTGAAACACTTTTTAAAATAAAAATGAGTATTCACAGTGTATTTGTTTTTAGTTTATACAAAAATACATAAAATGTACTTGCGATTAAAACAAACTTGGTGGAGGACAATTTTTTAGATTTCATCTTCAATGACCATGTACTAAACCTAAACATATAATCACACACACATGATCTAACAATTATGTATTTGAACTAAATAAAAATGTTAAACACTTTCAAAACAAACTTGGTGGAAGACAATTTTTTAGATTCCATCTTCAATGACCATGTACTAAACTCATACATATAATCATACACACATGATCTAACAATTATGTATTTGAACTAAATAAAAATGTTAAACACTTTCAAAACAAACTTGGTGGAAGACAATTTTTTAGATTCCATCTTCAATGATCATGTACTAAACTCATACATATAATCACACACATATGATCTAACAATCATGTACCTAAATTAAATAAAAATATTAAACACTTTAATGTATCATGTATATGTGTTCCTGTATCTCATCATATCCTCCATCATACTATCTTCTCCTCCTTAATCCGGAAGAAACTGAGGAAGGTTTGCGAGTCTTTGTTCAAGCGGGTCACCGAACGAAAACGAACGTGGTCCAAAATGGAGTTGTGTGTTAGAGGTGCACGCTCGCGAAGGGCTGCTCGTTCACCGCAAACAGAACTTACGCAAGCGAGCTCGCTTGAAATGCGGGCTGCTGCACCAAGTACGAGAGAAACTATTTAAAGGTCACGCATGTATATTCCGCGACGACGGTGCAGCTGCACGTTTGCGACCACGTAAAAATATGCGACCGTTCGGACGCGAGCTCGTTTCGCGCCACCAAAACCCTCACCGTTCCTGTCCATTGCCTCTCTCGTTGTTTACACCTACGCGAAACAGCCTCCATGCTGAAAAGCTCCGGCCATTCGATCGTTGGCCCGTGGAAAATTTGTTTTTTCAAGCTTTTACGTGATGGCCGCGCTTTTACGCGGTATCCCTTTTGATAAGGGCAGTGAAAGATGTGTCGCGTATAGGGGTTCTTTATTTAAACAGGCTTTTGTACTTTTTAGAGTACTTGTGAATTGTATTTTTGAATTTGGGAATATTGGAAGATTTTTAGGCGCACATTTATAAATCTGAAAGATACTGAGTTTTTAAATTTTCTGATTAATTAACCTTATAGTACTACACGTCTGAGTGCACAAGTTCCAAATTTCCTTATTCACAAATTTTTAAATATACAAAATTCATAATTTGCAAACTTCTATAAACCAAATCTATAAATTCTCAAATACCTATTTTCCTAAATTCTAAATTTTTTAGATGTCCAAACTCCTAGGTCCCCAAGTATCAAGGTCTTCAAGTTCTGATGTCTCCAAAATTGCTAAGTCAACAAATGCCTACGTCCCTAAATTGCTAAATCCCCAAATTTCTGCGTCCCCAAATTCCTATGTCCTCAACTTGCTAAGTCCCCAAATGCCTACGTCCCTAAATTGCTAAGTCCCCAAATTCCTATGTCCTCAACTTGCAAGTCCCCAAATGCCTACGTCCCTAAATTGCTGAGTCCCCAAATTTCTAGGTCCCCAAGTATCAAGGTCTTCAAATTCTGATGTCTCCAAAATTGCTAAGTCAACAAATACCTACGTCCCTAAATTGCTAAGTCCTCAACTTTCTAGGTCCCCAAATTCCTATGTCCCCAACTTGCTAAGTCCCCAAATACCTACGTCCTTAAATTGCTAAGTCCCCAAATTTCTAGGTCCCCAACTTGCTAAGTCCCCAAATCCCTAAATTCCCAAACTCCTATTTTTCCAAATCACAAACTCTCCAAATTCCTATAACCCAAATTGCCAAATCCTCAAATTCTTGCCTCAAAATCCCCAAATCCTCAAATCACCCCTAAGTTTCTAGTCCTAGATACCTTGCAAGTACGCCTGCGTAGAAGATGGAGCTACGTCAATTGTATACACGTTCTTGAGATGTTTTCTTTTCCCGATCCGTGGAGGTTTCCGGCTCTAGGCCAAGAAGCTTATTATCCCTCGTACCCAGTCATAATAATGGCGGGACGACCACGACCGCATCGCTGATTACAACGCGAGGAAAAAAATAATGTAACCAGATGGTTTTTGTTTAGTCTGGAATCGTTGGTCTGCTAACGCAGCTTCGCGGGTGCGATAACTTTGTCCCGGGGCACGATTCGAGTCAAAGTTCGACGTAACCTTTCTTCAAACAGATTAAGGCTCGCCGCTCTTTTATCTGCTGTAATTAATATAACTGGAAACGTCGGATTGATTAGTGACTTCTTGGAACTAAATTGTGCTTTATTTTTTTAAGATGACAGAAACTTGGTTTTAGTAAGTGATGCGAGGATGTTCTGATGACTTGACATGATAATGATGTTCTGACTGCTTTTTGGTAAACTGATGGATGAGTATAAGTGTATTTAGCTTCTTGCACTATAATTTGTTAGATCAATCAGAACTAACCACTCACAGCTGTTATACAACACTAAACCTACCGACACGTAATGTACACTTACTTTGAAACTAAAAATGAAGTTAAAGAATAAATATACAAATGACGAAACATAAATTAGCACACACATTTATTCATTATCTTGATGAAAATAAATGCTGATTTCAAGGAATGTACTTTAACAAAATGTGTACCTTATGATAAGAAACTTATGAAGTAGTCATTTGACCGGTTTGGTAGTTTTAGAGTTAAAACAATATTAAAAATTACCATGATTTGTAAAAAGCAGCATAAAGTACAAATACTCGAGTCTTCCATAATACTATTATAGTCAAAACATACAACGCTACTCAAACTTGAAATTTGCTCATAAATAAAATAATGGCCCACGAATTGAACCTTCAAATGTTTTCCTCATTCCGACATCCCGGAGAAAAAACACATTACAGAAAAAAGGGGTGGAATAACAGGGTTAGGTCTGGAAAGAATCGCCAAGGGCAAATGAACTTCTTGTTCCGCGAGCGTATAATGTCCCGGCAGAGAATTAAGCAACGAGACGATCGGCGGTCATGAATATACAAAGCGGACGAGCGAGACAGCCGCGTTGATCTTGGCATAAAACGCGATTAAAATTAACTCGACAATAAGCAGACCGCATTAACAATTTATATTTCGTTGTTGGCCAGACCCGCTCCGTTTCGTCATTGTGCGTTTTCCACGAACTTCGTGACTCGTATCGGTGCAACAATTGCGGTCAAACCGCGTCTGAACACATTATTCTTCGAATAATCGGTGCTGTTTGATAATCTGGTTACTGTATGAAAAGCACTTGGCTGAGAAATTGATGAGGACTTGGTACCACTTTTGAGTTTTTGGGAGGTAATCTAGGAGTGAATCAGTGGGTGCTATTTAGGGATGTGTAGGGATTTGATAATTTGGGGACGTAAGAGGTTGAGGTTTTTAGGATTGGGGGATGTAGGGATAGGAAGAGGTGGTTTAGGAATTTGGGAACCTTGGGATTTGGGGAGTTCGAGAGTTAGACATTCAGGGATTTGGAATTTAGGGACTTGGGGATGTTGGTAGTTGGAAACCTTGGGATTTGGGGAGTTTGAGAGTTAGAAATCCAGGGATTTGGAATTTAGAGATTTGGAGATGTAGGTTGTTGGAAACCTTGGGATTTGGGGAGTTTGAGAGTTAGGCATCCAGGAATTTGGATTTTAGAGACTTGAGGATGTAGGTACTTGGAAACCTTGAGATTTGAGGACTCTGAGAGTTAGGCATCCAGGAATTCAGAACTCAGGGACTTGGGAACCTTGAGACTTGGAGACTTTGAGAGTTAGGCATCCAGGAATTTGGATTTTAGAGACTTGAGGATGTAGGTACTTGGAAACCTTGAGATTTGAGGACTCTGAGAGTTAGGCATCCAGGGATTTGAAATTTAAGGACTTGGGGATGTAAGTACTTGACAACCTTGAGATTTGGAGTCCTTGAAAGTCCAAGACTATCCACTTCCACCACCTCTGTGTTCTGACCAAAATCTCCACACTGCAAAATCCAAAACCTGCAAAATTAAAAAATCATCCATAATTTTTATCCCCATAAAATCTTCCAAATCACAACCCCAAAAATGACCAAGATTTTCCTAACAATTCGACAGAATCCTCGCTGACGAACAGTCGGTAAGGTCGCAAACTGCAGTTGCCTTGGCGCGTGTATAGAATAAAGAAAGAGAAGAAGAGGAGGGTTGTAGAGTAACAACGTCTTTGTCGGTCGTTGGTGCATTCTTCATCCTCCGACAATTACATTCCACGCATGGCTTTGAGCTGTGCCCTGGCCCGCCACGCCGTCGTATTCTGCCCGGCCACACATCGCCACTCACGATTTGCTCCTGGAAAATTTCAATACGCTTTACAAGGTGGCGGACAGTCGCTAGCCGAGATCAAAGGGATCGTACACGTATTTCGCGTTTCGCTCGTATCGCCCCGGCTGTCAGGGAATTTGCCCTTCGCTCGTTCTCCTGACTCACGCCTTTGATTCCACAAAAGAAATTTCGTGTCGACGGTGTGTACGGCTTATATCCTACGCTCGCTGGAAAATTGCCGAACAACATCCTACGGGAATTACCGCGTCGTGATCTTGTCGATGTCACGTCCCATTTTCCTGTCGAAATTACAAGGTCAATGGTGTTCCCTTTCGCGTTTGAACAAAGGATGCATTCATGTTTTGTATCGGTAATTCTTTGTATCGTTGAATGGCAGATTGTTCTGGTAATTTCAATGTGTTAATCACGTGCTGTGGATGCGCATTTTGATAAGCTAGTCACTCTAGATATATGCTCTTTTGTTACATAGAGAAGGTATGTTTGATACTTTTAAGTGATGTTTGTTTTATGAATTCTATTGTTCGGTGTATTTTATGAACTTTATTAATCAGCATATAGTTTATGAAGTGTATTAGTCATATGCTTTGTGCACTTTGCTGACATATATATTTTATGAACTTTAGTAATCATTATTTATTTTATGAACATGATTGATTACTGTACATTTTATGAACACTATTAAGCTCTACATTTTTGAGAAACATTATTAACCATTATATATTTTGCAAATTTAAACATTATTAGTTACTTCATGAACTTAAATATAATCATATATTTTCTGGACTTAAAATTAATCCTACTAGAGCTGTCACTTCAAATCCATAACCTTAATATAATATGAACAAAAATAATTTAAACTTGACTTAACCTTAAATCAGCTAATTTTAATCTAACATTAAAGAAGTTAATTCTCATCTAACGTTACATAAGCTAAAGCTAACATAACCTTAAAGAAGCTGTTCTAACCTAAACCTTAATCAAGCTAATCTTAACCTAACCTTAAACCAGCTGACCATAACCTACCTTCAAAGAACCTAACCATAACTTAACCTAACCTTAAAATAACCTAATCTTAGCATAACCTAACCTTAACATAACCTAACCTTAACATAATCTAATCTTAGCATAACCTAATCTTAGCATAACGTAACCTTAACATAATCTAACCTTAACATAACCTAACCTTAACATAATCTAACCTTAACATAACCTAATCTTAACATAACCTAACCTCACCAAATTTAACTTAACCGTACCATAACCTCATACGACTAAACGTAACATAACATTAAAAATGCATTGAAATCACCAAAAAATACAAATATCCAGAAAGTTACAGTATCTCGACTAGAATGGAGTCAACCTTCCTCTCCACGCGTTTCTGTTACATGCCCTCGGTACGTAGGTGTATCCATTATCCACCGCCTACACAGCACACACATTCATAATGGCGAATCGTGGTGGTTTTCTTTTAAAAATTGTTTTAATGAAAATAATCTCGATGTAGCCGTCGCCGAGCGTTCCCGCTGCTTTTCCAAGCGCGTATGCACTCGTTGACCGGACCGTGGCGATCTCCCCGAGGTCGTTGCACCATTGTTTACACATATAAATGTTATTGTTGCTGTATCTCTCCGGTCGCCGGTCGTTGTAATGGAACAATGACGTGCTTATGCGTCGCGTACACTCGTCTGCAACGTAGGCTTTCTATCAATAAGGACTTCACTATTGTTTCATTTCCGAATTTGTGAATTTTGGAGTTTTTGGTTTTGGGGATTTTTAGGTTATTGGATTTTTGGAAATTTGTAGGTTTCTGGATATACAAATTTCTGTATTCATAGATACCAAGATCCTCTAAATGCTTATTGCTCTAAATTCTCACGTGACCAAATTACCAGGTCACCAACTTCCTATACCATCAAATCCTAAGACATCCGAATCTCCAGTTCCCCAAAGTCCCACGTTTACAAATTATTGGCTCCCAATTTCCAAATCTCCAGATTCCTATATTACCAAATCCACGTCCCCAAATTCCTATATCATCATATTCCTAACTTTACAAATCCTCACATGGTCAAATTTCCAGGTCCCCAAGTTCCTACACTGTTAAATCCTGAGACCTCCATACCTCCAGTTCCCCAAGTCCCACATTTACAAATTAGTATGTCCCCCAATTTCTAAATCTCTAGATTTCTACATTACCAAATCCCCACATCCACAAATTCTCATATTCCCAAATACACTATCAAATCCTCCCATTTCCATATCCTTAGACCCTCAATTCCTAAGGTCCCCAAATTCCTACACCTTCAAATTCCACCTTCCTAGGTTAATTAACCTACCCCTAAATTTTTCCCTAAAATTGTGTGAGACTCCACGGTCCTATATTTTTCGTGAAGACACCAGATTTGCTACTGACTGTACATAGAAGCCTTGGTCACAGTTACCTACACGCGCGCAGTGGGTGTACGAGCGTGCAATGATTCAATGCCGCATTATTGGAGCCCGTTAGAGAATATATTATTATTCAACGGATCGTCGCTGGCATTCGAAGTCTCCTCGAGGGTTGCCCGGATCTCGCCACTCTGCTTATCCTCGCGTGCGCGTGTAACGAGCACAAAGCGCATTAGGCAAGGATGAGCAGCGGAATTTTTTCCAGACGCGTTTCTCGTTTTGCCTCTTATCGCCGCCCGATGTCTGTTTCAGATAAATCTGCATGCATTTGTGCATGTCGCTACGTTTCCACGGATAAGCGGCCTTTTAACTGCTCGATCGTGCGATTCCGACCCGTTCTTACGGAATAAACCGCCTACTATTAAGTTCTAGTCACTTTGTTACGCGGACGTTAGGTACTCGGACGTTGCCATCTTTCGGATAAGTGCGTGTAAGATTTTTATGTTACATTAAACAATTTTGGAATTTTTAAATGTGACAATCTTGGAATTGCTATATTTTGAAATAAGAAAATTCTGAACCACTATTCTCAGATCTAGGTCATGAAATTTTTCTTGAAATTCTGTGTCATGAAATTTCTAGGTCATAGGGGTGGATCCTGAAATCCCAATATCCCAAAGTCCTCACTTACCTCCACAAATTTCTAGATTACCTAACCCCTAAATAAGAAGTTCCTATGTCCACTTTCTACATCCCATAACATCTAAATACAACCCTTATACTTGATAGACCAAATATCCCTTATAGATCAAATTGTCAAGCAACGGGGTGCAAAAATCGCGAGCTTTGCACTCGAATCATAAATACGGTTATTTATTTACACCATTCATACGGGAGAAATAAATACATCGGCATTTAGCGAGCCGAACACGGCTTGCCGTTGCAAATAAGCGCCTCTATTATTAGTATTCTAACACCATGTCTCTCATTCGAGGCTTGCACAAGAGTTGCATGCGCACCAACGTTCCGCTACATCCGCGTGTCTTCGCGAGGAAACCTCTACCACCGCTGTTTTTCCGGATAAGGCTAATGCTGTTAATTAATCACTGTAACTATTAAAAACAATTTCTAGTAAGTAATTACTCAATGTGATATCTATACATAGACTTATAAACTTATATAAAAATTTAAGAGATTCATGATTTTGATCAGTAACTTATTACAATCATTCCTACATTTAGTAACGTAGAGTAAATAAGGGTGTTTCGATTATTTTTTAATGACAGAATGTATCAATCAAAAGTACTTGAAAATTATTAGGAAAATTGCTTGACTTCAAATGAGAAGTATCAATATTACACGATTAGACCATGCATCGTTGAAGAAAATTTCTTCGAGACACCCTGTATGTGGAAGACACATACGTGTTATGTTAAGGGTAGCAAGTTAAAAATTCCGATTTCTAGAGAACAGCTCGAGAGATTTTGGATGAGTACGCGAAGGAAGGTGCGAGAAGAAGGGGGTACAGGGAACGAGAGGGAGAAAGAAGAGGGATAGAAAGGGGTGGCTACGACATTGGTCGCAACCTGTCTGCTCGTAGTCTGAATGGTAGTGGTAGTAGCGGTGACGGTGGTGGCGTCCGGGGGTTGGAGCGCAACGAGGGGTCCATAGGGGTGGAGGTGGAAGTCGGGAGACTCCCGTCTAGACTAACCCCCGATTCACCCCCGGCGCAGACAAGCCAACCAAACTGTGTTCGAGTGAACTCCTACTGCTCCCTTACACCCCCTTAAAAAGTTAAAATACTCTCTGTCCTCGCGCCTCCGCGGACCTACCCCTCTGTCCCGAGCGCTGCACCGACCACCCTCGCGACCCCTCCAACCCCGAAACTCCTCCGGATTTTATTATTACCATTTCTAGAGTAGGTAGGCACCTTCTTTCGTCCTCCGTCTCGTTTCCTTTCGTTCTGTCCGCCGCTTCTTCGGCGTCCTCCTCTTCTCGCCCGGCGCCCTTCTCGCCTTTATCCGCTCCGCGTCGACGTAACGGGGAGAAGCGTCGTTTAAATTGTTTCCGAAGGAAATGCATTGCATCTGCTCGCTATCCGCCATTCCCTCCGCGTCCTCATCCCATTCACCGATCGGCAGATACGTCGCGGGGGTTGGAAAGTTCGTGACCGGTCTTGAAAACTCCCTTGCTACTCGGCTAACGTACACGAACTACCGAAAACCAACGGGAACGGCAATTTACTCTGGTCTACTTAAAATCCTTCCCCTTCGTCCGACTTCACCCGGGATGATTGGAATGATTAATCGCTCGGGACCAGTCGGGTTTGTTCGCCACCGACACTCGTATGCCATGTTACACCCGCAACGACGCATCGATGTATAATATAGGCACTTCGCTACGTGGTAATACAGGGACAAATTGATACATTGTGGACCGTTCAGAAATGACTGCGTTTGTGAGGCTCAGATACTTGAACTTTTTTAGACACCATTCACATGAGCAATGCTTTTATGATCCCGCTCAGTATGTCTTTGTTTTTTCGATAACAGTAACGAAGCCAGACATAATCGCAGTGAAAAAGGGCGGTCGTGTGCATCTTATTTTTGACTGTCTGTTATAATAGACCATACGTGTATACAGGTATGAAAATGATATTCCACGACTATTGCAGCGTTATTCTCTGGATTGGTTATCTGTAAAAATTAACATAGAATTGACCTTGACCTTGAAATACACGCTCAAATCTTTCTATCGTTGTAGCCTGCACAAGGCTACAAAGCTTCCTGAAACAAGCCATAAGTGCGGTCCAACTAATTCCACATTTCTATCATGCTCCAGCTACATGACTGCTACAACCAAATGATTCTAAATATTAACAACAAAGTATTCTGCATGTGAACGTATTTCATCTGGTTGATGGGCACGATTCGATTAGACGACAAGCATCGGTGACCACTTCACGAAGCCCAACGAAGCGAAGGTGTATCGCTGGCTGAGAAAATGGCCGGTCACTTTTGTATCCGCACAGGGGGCAGCAGGATCTGTTGGCGTCGAAGGGCGCCGCGGCGGGAGGGGTGGATGGGCAAAGAGTGCAAGAGGCGGAGGAGGTGGAGGAGGGGTTGAGTCGACTGTGTGCAGCCACGAAGCGGAGACCACGGCGTTGCATTTAAACGACGATAAGTCTCGAAGCTTTGAAGACACCGTTCGGTAGGGATACAAGAGGGGCAAGAGGGGGGTTCAACGACCCGTTGACAGCCAGACAAGGCGGACGCAGGCCAGACCAGTGCATCAGCCCGGTCGAGCGTCGGTGGAAGAAAGACAACGAGCCGACGTAGGGGGATAGGGGCACCAGGGGAACCTGTATATCGCCGTTATTATCGCCATCGACTTTTATCGCCAGACGATAACTCTCGACTCCTGCCGGTTACCTAGCTGCTCCGACGATGCTTTTTTCTCGTTCTCGCCCTTTTCTGCCCTGTCGCTTTAACCTCTTTCCTTTTTATCCCTCCTCCCCCGTAGCTGCCTCTCAAGTCCCCTCCGCCCACCTCCTCGTCGACGCTGTTGTGATCGTGGTGATCGCGGGAGAACGAACCGACTGGTCCGGCCGCGGCAAATGCTCTTTGACGGCTTATCGCTCTCCACCACGATAATCGTGTAACTTTTTCCTCCTTTTTTCGACGCTTCGATCCGCGTGGCGCCCGGCGCCCGCCGAGCCTCCTGAAAAACAATGCAAAACGACGACGCCTTTTGATCGACCAACTTGTCGATAGGCTTGCCTGTTTCGTTTTGCTTCTTTCCTTTTAGCGTGCATCGAACGTTGGCCTTGTATATTTGGATACAATGTTCTTTGTACAACGCGAGTTAGTCTTACATTTATACATTATTCAATCTTCTATTTTCTACATTTTTATAAATTTTTGTATTTCTACCTAATTAACAAATTTTATAATTACTACATTTTTGAGGTTAATTTCACAGTTCTTGATATTCAAGTCTCTAGGTCTAAATGTAGAACTAAATCTCTAGAACTTGCTCCTCTAAGTAAACGAGATTATTCCTTCCAACACCTAGTAGTCCGATCGGTGGAATCGATTGTGACCCCACAGGCGAAATAACGCGAACAGATTGAGCTTTTCTATTTATGCACCCCTAAAAGCGCACCCTAATCGTACGATGCTGTCAACCTGTTTCGCGCAGTGTTACCGCTCGTGCGAGTAGTAAATTATTTCGTGGAGCCAGAAAACTTAATTCCGTATGCATGAGCTCGTCACAGTTCTTTACATCTCATATGATTTATTCAAAAATGAGATTACTTGTCGATCTCGGCTCTGCCCGAGCGCGCATAAAATTTACGAAATGGACTAAGGATAAATCTCTTAGGGATGAGCCTAATTGCAATTTTCATCTTAGTTTGAGATGATTCTCGACTTTGGCTCGAATTCGAGTGCTCGATGATCGACCTGTCGGCGGAATTCTGCAATCATCAAGGAGAATTGGATACCGTAAGCTTGTAGGTGTAGAGACGATGGCGTTACAGCGCCGTTGAACCGATAAAGATGAGGGATGAAGCCCTTTCCGAGCGATTTGATCGGATTCCATGTTTGATCGTCGATAATCCAATTTGCCTCGACGCCCTCGTGAGCTTTTGTAGCATGGGCATGTATTTTTCAACGAGTCTGCACCGTCTGCCTTCGTACAATCGGATGCCTCCTGTCGGAAGTGGAGCCGTCCAATTTTCTCGAATCACGCATACTCTGTGACAGCTGGCAACTGTGAGTCCTGCAAGAAAATTTCTACATCGAAACAACTCATCGGTGACTTTTTCTCGTTTCAACTTGCGGAGGCGCTTGACACTTTGCAGATTTCGATTAATCTCGAAGAAGTAATTTTGCACAGTACACGTATTAAGGGGATCATTCAACAGGTGTATCCGTCCTGTGCAAGAAATTGTGGCGAGGGAAAAAGCCGGTAATCGTTAGGTTTACAATGATGCATTATTTAGAGGCGAGTTAATGAAGTGCTCATGTATGTTGACGTTGTACAATTATGTTATAGAGATTACATATTCGAATTCTACGAAAGCGTGTTTTAAGACAGGTACACAACTGAGAACAAACATAAATTTCCTTGGGAAAATATGAGAACCAGGGGGAAAGATCTCACTGCCATACAGTGAGCCTTTATGAAGCTTCGTATATAACTAGAGATTTAAGAATGTAATATGGAGACCTTAGGATTTGGGAATCTATGTATGTAGACTTCTAAGAAATCGTAAATCCTTTATCTTAGCGCAAAAACTTTAATTTCTGGTTATGAAGGAAATCCAAAATAAGTTCAAGACCGCAAGCCATCAAATTTGAAAATGATCAAACCTTCAGCCAAGGATTAAACCTTCCATGGTGACAAAAGGTGTTTTCATAAGAAACGAGGATTCATAGGAATCGAAAACTGGGGTGGCAATATATTTGGTCGTCGAAATAGGGGTTAAGGGATATCACCGGCACGCGCATAACAGAGAGGCAGTAACTCAGTGGCATTCGTCTGCTGTTATTCAGCTTCTCGTTGGCTATCGAACGGCGCGTACGCGCGAGCGTATAAATCTCATCCGGCCGTTTAATTGAATATTTAAGCGCTAGTCCACGACTGATTTCGCGTGATCGGCAAGTTCATCGACTCCGAAATAGCCGGCTCGAGGAGCGAATAAACGTTGTTCGTTTCGTCGAGTATTCGTTCTTGTTCGTCGGTTTCTCTTTTGACTCCGTCGAAGGGGCCGCCCTCTTCATTTTTCTTGGTTATCCCATTTTTTTCCCTGTCTCTCTCTGTTCATTTTGTGGCTGGTCGTTGCCACCCCGTGCTCCCGCGATTCGTATACAAGGCTCGTCCTCATGTTCCACGCATGAAGTACGAAACGATACGACGTCGTGCGTGACGTTTGCGATCGGTGCTTCGAGAACGGCAGGTGTAACTGTAAAAAACAGCCGCAAAAATTCCGGCTGCCCCGAAGTCCTTGCCCTCCCCTTTCTCTCCGTCTGTCCCTCGGTCCTCTGCCTTCTCTTTTTGCCCTTCGACGGTCCATTCCACGCCCTTCGCTGCCTTCTGGTATTTGATGGAATAATAACAGGACGAGCGGGAAAGATTCGTGACGCGTAAGGACTCGTTCACGATGCCGTACCGCGACGTAGGGGCCGGCCACGACAGGTTGCTCGAAACCAGCCTAAATGATGGATCATTAATAATAGAAACTTCTTCGACAGAACCGGTTGCGTACAATGTATCAACCACGAACAACTTTCGAAACATTGTTGCTTCGAACAAGGATACAGGGGTTCCGCTCTTTCTTATCTTTCATCGCGCTTGGTCTGACTAGTCAACCTGTTCTACTTCGACTGTTGCAACGATTTCTACTGGGTGTCCGTTTACTTTGCGACACTATCGAATTATTAAACATTAAATACATTATTCTGTAACATTACTACATAAATTTTAGAAGTCTTCTTTACTGCAGTAAGACTGTGCCACAATATGTTGAGTAGTGACATGAAGTTGCAGAAGTTCGATATACATGTAGGTATATTTTTAGTATACATGTGACAATATGTAGTGACATGTATATACTATGTATTGAAATCAGTGTCACACACTGCAGTTGGAACGTGATAAACCAGACTTATATTTTCACTGCAATTGAATATTTGGTTCAATTTTAATTATACTCTGCATCATCAAAAAACGCTGAAGATGAAATGTGCTTAATATTTTAACATTCTTCAGTTGTCTCTACATTCTAGCAATAATTAGCTGGCTGTGAATGACGCAGCTGCCTAGAAAATTATAGGTGAAACAGATCCCAAAGTCCATAAACTCCAATTCTTTCAAATCCGTATAGAAATTCATGAAGTGTTCAAAAATCCCTGAAAACGAGTTCCTCGCGTTTCCCTCGGGAAGTCACTTAACCGCAAGCGATCGAAAAAAGGGGAGGTCGCACGCGAGCGAATGACCGTGGTGAATGAGCATAAACGTTATCCGTTGTTTCGACCGCGTGAGAAGATGAAAATCAGCGTCGATGACGAAGCGTCGCGTCTCGCTTTCCGCGTTTGCCTTTATTATTTATGAAACGTGGCCGCGAGATTAGAGGAGAGAAAGACGGAGGCAAAGAAAAGAGGCGAGCAGCTGAGCCGAGAGCGACGCAAGAAAAGAGAAGAGGCCACCGCTTGGAAAATGAGAGACGAGACATGCCAGTGAATGGCAATGGCCTGGAGTGTACTAGAAGAGCGAACGCGAAGAAAGAGAAGGAAAGAGAGCTGGCCTGTGCACCAAGCCATCACAATGTGTTCTGGTTGCTTCGCTCTGTCCGTTCGTCCCTGTGCACGTCCGTACGTCTGTCCGTTGTCTGCCCTGGCACTCGAACCGAGTGCATAGCCGTCTGGCCCCGCTAGAGGGTCTCTGACCGATTATCACTTGGTCTTTATGCTCTTTGAGGTTCTTTTAAACGTCTCCTCCGCTCCACCTCCTTTTTACTACGTTCGCCTTCTTCTCTCCACAAGAAATTCGGACCTCTTCTTGAAGGTCAATTTAACTCTACTCGAACATATTTTTTGGCAGCGACTCGGAAACTATCTGGGTGAAAAACCTTATGCTATTTCTCCGTTGGTTGGTTATTATCTCGCTGG